AAAACCAACCATTTCTTCCTAACTCAACATTATTTTTAACATCACAATCATTTTCAAGAATCCATTAGACAAACCTCTCTTTTGATTTTTACCCAAAACCCTTTATTTGTTCCAAATCATCCAAAACTTAATATTGTTTAGAAATAACAAATAACTAAGTTAAAACTTATAAAATGCCATGACCCAAACCCGCTCCTATAGGTTTGGCATCATAATCGGCCAGTAATCCTTAGATTACAAAAGGCCTCTGAACAGATTAACACATAATAAGGGGCTGCAGAAGCAGATATATAAAACGTATATAGTCCATTGAGCTGTGTACACATACATAAGACAAAATTTGAAACTTATATACATATCTATGACATTACTAACACATTAATCTTATGTCATCATATCCACAATACAGAACATTTAGTCAAAATATAAAAAATATAAAAGTTCCGAACATTGATCATAAACACTTGACCATGTCAAAACGGAAACCTCCTCAGGAGGCACAGAGGCTGGCTAACCAAAACAATACTCTGAGCAGCAACTTAGGCCTGATCACGCGCCTGCTCACCTACATACATAAAATAAATAGTGAGCGGAAGCCCAGTAAATAATAACAGAGTAAAGGGTTTAAATGAAATGATGTCCATAACAGATTCAGAAATCAGAGTTCATATCAGAAACAGACTTATATTCATATTATTGCTCAAACTACATATACAAATCAGAGTTCATGCGTAATCATACATAGTACATCCATTAGCAATTGACAAAATTTGTTTTTTTTTTTATTGAATTTTTCTTGAAAATAAAATTATGTTTTTAATTTTTAAGATTGTTTAGTCCAGCAGACTTAAAAAATAAAAAATAAAATTAACTAAAAATTTGGAAAAAAAATATATAAAAAATAAAAATAAGCCAAAGAATAATAATAATAAGTTGAGCCAAAAGATAAGTACACTTTAGACACTATCTTTGTGTAGCGGGTAGGGTGATAAGCGAGTCAAATGAGCCTAGCAGTTAATTGTTCTAGTTTAATTTGAAAATTTTAATACTTGGTTATTGTTTTTTAAAAATATTTTTCAGAAAATTTTATTTTTTTATTTTTCGTGTTTTTTTTTGTTTTTATTAAATTTTTTTAATATTTTGAGTAATTTTTTTAATTTTTAAACATACCTAACATACATATACCTAAAAAGTAAAAAAAAAAATTGAAAAGAACCTTTTAAAAATTCACTAAATATAAAAAATATAAAAAAAATATGAAAATTTAGTACATTTTTTATATTTTTATGTATTTATTAATTTTTAAAAATATTTTTTCACAAATTTTTTACTTTTTAGATACATCTAAGTAAGGTGCATTTAAAAAAGTAAAAAAATGTTTAAAATTTTAAAAATATTCACTAAAAATAAAAAAATACGAAAATCAAAAAATTTAATTTTCAAAAAACTTAATTCAAAAAATTCAAATCAAACACATGATTTTCGAAATTTATTTAAGTTTTGTTCATTATTTTTTTGAGCTAATCTCAAACAAATTTTGGTTGAGTTGAACTCAAATAATTTGGTATTTTATATAGTTTTAGGCTTATTAAACCGAATCGATTAAGGAATTGATTGTTCAAACTTGATTGAAAATTTTAATAAATTTTAAAATGTGTACAAAATTAACTTATTTGTGTAATGAATCAAACTCAAACGAATTTTTAACGAGCCAAATATGAATCAATCCTAAATTATTTAGATCATTTATCATCCTACTTAGCAGTGGCGGCACTAGGCAGTAACTAATGGGTTAAGTTGACTCCATCAACTAGTTGGGAAAAAATTAATTAAAAATAATTTTTGATATTAATATTTGCTAATTTTTGCATCTACTTGTTTTGCACATATTAGTCATTGTTGTTGTATTCAACTCAATAGTTTGATTGCCACAATTTGTTCAAATTATTCAGAGAACAAATTACACTCGCATTAGAATTTTTAGTTCAATTATGAATAATTTTTATTAAATTAATGTTCGGTTTCTCATGCTTTTGCACTTATTAGTCATTTTTTAGTTCAATAATAAAGTTAGAATAATGCTAAAAATAATATTGATTAGTATTGAAAAAAGTAAATAAATAATGTATTAAAATATGTAAAAGTGTTTTTGAGATATATATGCGCACCGAATTCTACACTAGATGAAATGAATTGAAACTCCGCAGCTGAAATTGTCACGACCCAAATCCGTCTCTTTAGGTTTAGTGACGTAATTGGCCAGTAATTCTAGGATTACCAAAGGCCTTTTAATAGAATAACAAAATCTGAGGAAGCAATTATACAAAATACAAGGTCCATAGAGCTATGTAAACATACATAAGACAGAGAAGTTTTAAACTTATATAACGTCAACTTCCATAAAGCTTGTATCACCATACTTATAATGTCATGAGGAACTTAGCCCAGCGTATAGATAAGCAAAACAAATAACAAAAATCTTCAGCAGGTTCATAAAACTTGACTTCGCAAAAAGGAACCTCCCCGGAAGGCACAATAGTTGGCTGACTCAAAATACTCCAAGCAGCAACTTAGGCCTGATCACGCGCCTGCTCACCTACATACATAAAATAAATAGTGAGCGGAAGCCCAGTAAATAATAACAGAGTAAAGGGTTTAAATGAAATGATGTCCATAACAGATTCAGAAATCAGAGTTCATATCAGAAACAGACTTATATTCATATTATTGCTCAAACTACATATACAAATCAGAGTTCATGCGTAATCATACATAGTACATCCATTAGCATTATCATGCTTGTCAGTTTCATAAGGAACCACCGGTACTGGGAAACTTATAACATATTTGAGCTACAGTATTATTACCCCCAAGAAAGAGGCTTGAGACCATGGTATTATTATTCCCGGACAAGGGCCGTGAGACCACGGTATTGTTACCCCCGGGCAAGGGCCTTGTAGTTATAGACCACAGTATTATTACACCCCGAGCAAGGGCCTTATGCTAAAGATGCCACGTATACATTTCAGAAATTTGGACAAACATTCATTCATACAAAACATCGCATTTCAGAAAACTGATCATTTTATAGCATCAAAAAATAATTAAAGTTAAACATAACTTTACAGAGTTATTACTCACAGATGGCTCCACTTGTAGAACAGACAAGTCAGACAACTTGTGGCGCGTAACCTACACATACATAACAGAAACACATAATGAAACACGCACTCGATTGGTACTTAACTTCTTTCGTTTCGTTCTTCGTGTGCTTCTAGGTCTTAACCTCTTATTGAGTCTTAATCATGACCTACAAATGCCTAGGATACAATGTGGATGCCAAAATACACGTTAGAACTCTTAACAAAACTTGCTGAAAACAGAGGTCACACTTGAGCACAACTTCTCTTGCTCGAGCAGACATGCAAACATATGAGAGGCCACTCGAGCGCAATTTACTTTACTCCAGTGGTCCGCAGACTCTAAAAAAGTACTAGTTGCGTGAGTTCTCCTCTCAATGGCCGTTCGACAATCGCTCGAGCGTGAGACTAAGATCCCTCACTTGAGCGCAACTCCTGTCACTCGAGCAGTCTGCAAAATGTGTAAATTTATGAGAGCTTACATTTCTCGCTCGAGCGAACTTCTGGTCGCTCGAGCATGAGGTGCAAGATCATAGAGTGGTCGCTCGAGCGCAAGTTTTGTCGCTCGAGCGGGAGGTCGAATTCTGGAATTTCCAGATTCACCTCCAAGCTGCAAAACTCGAATTTAATGCTT